TATGCCTGACCATGTGATCATAAGCATTTAGCGTGTGCCGTAAGCCGTCTGAAATAAAATAAAATGTATACAAGCACTACACTCAACTTATTTGCATTGTGTAATAGAAGACAAGTTATTAAAAGTGCGTAATTGTTTGTTTTTGAAGTTGAGATTGGTGCGAGCTAAAAACTGAAATAATTATGTAAGACTTAAAAATTCCGAAACAATCAGAATGATGGTTACATCAAAGTAATAATGAGCAGTTCGACGTATTTGACAATCTGACACGCGCAATTGCATCTCACTCAAACAATGCGGTAAGTAAACTAATACTTATTTCGTAATGAGGATTTTCTTGTACAAAAAGATTTTGGGAAGATTCCATATTCTATTCGAAACAATTGCAATTGTTAGTAATAATAATAATGATGCAGATCCAGACATTTTGGGTTTTGGGTTTATTAGGCGTTGAACTTTTGTAAATCTATTTAATCTCTTCATTTTTCTTGTCTGCATGATCAACAGCTCAATTAATTACGTGTATTTTTACACGGGCTATGTTTAAAGTCAAATCACCCGCGGATACAATAACACACAAAACATTTCCTCGATCGAGAAGAAAAAGAAAGCCTTTTAACAAAATGGCTTTGTAAACCAATTTTTTATCTTTTTTAATAAAAAAACAAAATTATGTTTATTTAAACATGGATGAATTCACCATTACCGAATTCATCTTGTGCGCGGGGCTTTCGGTTTCTATCGAAAAGTCAAATCACCCGCGGCGGCCCCGCCACAAGCCATTCACACAAAAAACATCTTTTTAAAACCCAAATTATATCTTTGGAGCTCTATTATGTACGCTCCCCTTTGCAACTACATTCCGTGTCGAGGTTCGGACAAACGAAAAGGTTTCGGCGCACCGGCACCACACGAAGACATTTCCAAGAAGAAGGACGAGGCCAAGGACTACGCAGAATTGGGGTTGTTGTAATGCTGACGTAATCGCATATCATGTATATAATCTACGTTTATTAAATAAAAATACAATCTCGGACATGTTCATTAAATGCAATCAACTGAATGTTGTTGTGATTTGATTTAATTTGAAAATACATTTGTCGTACTGGTAAAAATTGCGAATACATAGTTTAACAAAGTGCCTACGAGTCATATTCATATAACGCTGTGGCTTTTCAGAGAGATGTTTATTAATAGACTCTAAGAGCACACTCGTTGATGTTGCATTGTACGTGTAATATAATATCTCTATCGCGTAGAGTAGTTTATGCCACAGTCATTATCAGCCCACACGGTTGCATATAGCTTAAGTTACGCGTCAGTTTGACATTCGCATGCAGTTTTGAGGTTGTTAAAGATCGTGGCTATGATTAAAACGTTATCATTTGTTTACCACCTTGTTTGTACTTGTTATTTATGGCAGTGATGAGACATTAGAAGGTTTGGAACGAAGCATTTAATGCATACATACGAAGATACTTAATGTCATTATTCTCATAACGAAAAAAAACAACAAACTTTACATACAGTCTATTAAGCAGAAATTATCTTACTCCTACTGAACGATATGGACGTGAGCAAGTCACTGATTTGTAAAACAACGGGAAAGCGTCATATTAAAGAATCGAGAGGAGTGATGATGCATTAATAACATTGACCAAACCTTGTTAATTTTATGGGAATTTCATACGCATTCATTTATTAAAACTCGAGCCTTATTATATTTATGATGAGAATGCACCAGCTGCTATACAAATGTGCCCCACCATCTTGCATATATGCTATCCCTAAACAATAAGACAAAACATGCCTCCTCGGCAATATAATAATAAGGCCCTCATATATCCCTTACGAAAATAAAATTCTAGATATGATTCTAGAGTTAGCGTTAGGCCATTCAGACCTTTTCTTTACACTCTTACGGGGCATTTCATACATAATTGATATCGGATTCCTACAGTAATTACGTGATTAATTTGAATAAATTGTCGATATTATGAATAGCAAACAGGTGTTATAAAGCTGCGCTGAAAGAGGAAACTCACAAGTTTAAATTTCTTATAATTACCGTTCGAGAATGCTCCAATCCACGTCCGCCACACGCGCCCACGGGTACGCGACCCAATTTAGGAGCACGCACGTCGTTGATGTCAATAGACATCACAATGTCTTCGTAATCATCAAACTGCTCGATGCGACTGTGTGACTCTCCGTACACTTCGGCAAGATAGTCATGATTATCGTCGTAGCAGTCTATTAGAATATATGCGTTAGGCTTTGCGACATTACTTTGGTTTAAGCAGATGGTAAAACATGCAAGTAATTATCAATAAAAATTCTTTTCGGCCACTTACACATTATGGAATATATGTGTCATGGAAAATATAAATGCCCGTTTTATATCCTGAGAAACTTCCTGAACAGTTTCCGAGACTAAAATTGTGCAATCGAAGAGTTTGAGTAATCAGTGGTTACGTGCAAACGTAAATTCGCTGACAATGTTCGATAGTACAGGGTACATATAGC